TAAAGAGCGGGGCAGGTCTACAGCGGAGCAAAGAAAGAAGGGGGTACCTATCTATTAAGGAGCTTAGGGCAGCAGCACAACTACCCTGCAAAGTAGGCGAGTCATCCGGGAGATTCATGGCAGAGTGGGAATTTGAACCCAGAAGTCCCGAATCCTAGTTCAAAACTCTAATCATGACACCATCCTGTCTCTCTCTAGCCATTTTCAGCAGCTAGGCACAATTTTATAGGTTTTCCCCTTTGCTCATTTTTTAAAGCAAAAAACACACCCATTTTCTTCACTTTTTTTCTGGAAGGGAATGTGCCCAGGGAAATACTGATCGCCACTTTGGGGTCAGGAAGCAATTTTTCTCCAGGCCAGTTTGGCTGGAGATCCTGGAGGTTTTTTGTCATCTTCTGGGCGTGGAACAGCAGTCACTGGAGGTGTGAGGGGGAGGTACTTGTGAATTTCCAGCATGGTGCAGGGGTTGGACTAGATGACCCTGGAGGTCCCTTCCAACTCTATGATTCTAGAGGAATCCCTTGAAATAGCCCCTGGATTATTGCGATTGCCCCCTTTTTGGGGTACACATGACACTCCCTTATACTGAATCGGACCTTTAGTCCATCAAAGACCACTCAGATTGACAGCAGCTTTCCAGGGTTTCAGGCTGACATCTTTCACATGATCTACAACCTGATCCTTTTAATAGGAGACGCCGGGGATTAAACCGGGGACCTTCCGCATGCAAAGCACACACTCTACCCCTGAGCTGTCACCCCACCCATGGCCCTTTCCACCTCTGCAATATTCGTTTCAAGACAGAACCACCAAATCTGTACACAGGATTCCCAATGCAACAAAGACCTCCAGAACCATCCGCTTTATTTTCAATCCTCATGCCTGCCTTGCCTCCGCTTCCGTTCCCTGGCTCTCATCGACCTTCTCGTCAGCCACGCCAAGCGCCGCGTTGGTCCTTTCCACCTGCATCCGGTTGTAATCCCCAATCTGAACCATCTGGGCATGCTGAATGACCAGGTGGGGCTGAGGTCCTTGTGGCATCGGGGTTGGAAGAGGCACGCTAAAGGGCTGGAAGTGAGTGGCCTGGCCAGGCCCAGGTGGAGGCTGGAACATCCCAGGCATGGAGGATGTGGGGAGGAAAAATGGCGGCGGAACGTGGCTGGGTGGGACCTGGGGCAGTCCTGGAAGGCCCATCTGTGTTGGTGGGAAAGGCACCTGGGCCGGGTATCCAGGCTGCAAGCTGAGTGCTAAGAGGCGCTGTTGCATCTGCCAGTAATCTTGCTGCTGCTCACGCAGCCGTTCTTGACGCCGTATCTGCTGGTTCATGCTCCAGGTGAGCTTCTTCGTTTGGAACTCAGAAAGTCTGAACGTGTTCTTCGCCCTTCTTTCAAAAACACGTGAGTTCTCATCCAGGGACACAAGCCCCGCCAGCACGCCGGGCATCTCCCCTTTCTTTAACGGGCTTTCTTTGGGGATAAAAGGAATGACCGAGTTGGCTTTGACTATGCGGGTGAAGGAGTTCATCAGAGCCATGTTTGTCTGGAAGGTGCAGAGGTGGCTCTTGAAGTTCTCCGTCAGGAGCAGGAGCGTGAAGGCCGAGTTGTCCAGCGCGTCCTGGAAGCAGGCCAGCTGGTTATGTCCGGGAACCAGGAAGTCCTCACAGAAGGTGGCTCCGTTTGAGACCCCCATGTTCTCCAGACGCTCCCTTACCCGGCAGGCAATGCTCTCGTCTTCATTCGCATGCACAACAACGAACATGAAGAACTGGTCTTCATCGCCTGTTGAGTCTGTGGAGGAGGAGGAGGAGGCTGCTACAGGAGGGACATCTGTTGAAGAAGACGTGTCTTTAGGACCGGTGCTTTGACACGGAGAACAAGAATACTCTACGGACGTTTGGATACAGCCTTCAGTAGCTGGGTCAGCTAGCAGTGGGCATGCAGTCCTCAAATTTGGGGGTATGTCTTCTTTGAGATCCTGCAATGCTGCTGCTGGCATTATATTTGGGGGTTCAGTACATTCCACAGGGCTCCGAACACTCTCCTCCAGAGACAGTACATCGTCGTTGTGAGAGGACCCCAAAGAACCCAAACAGCTCCCTTGGAGATCATCTGTGCTGTGGCTTTTGGGCTGCTCCTGCACACCCGGGCTCTCGGACCGGCTAACAGACGGTGACACCAGACTAGTGCCCCCTTCACCAGGTTGCGCCGAAGAACCGGGGGCGATCTCGCAAAGCTTGCTGGCCTCGGGGGCACCACACCGGTGAGATACCCGACTGAGATAGGGCACGGTGGGGGAATCGCTGATCTCGAAGTGGCTCACGAAGGAGGCGGGTGTGCCGGTGGAACGCAGGGGCTTAGCCAACGCTCCCAACGAACGATTAATTGGAACCGGGACACTCCTCGGGAGTTTCTCCGAGCCAGTTTTCAGAGTATTAAATCCACCGCTCGCCACTTCGGCGGCAAAACCAAGGCCACACTTATCCCGTGCTTCAGCCAGGAGGGCATCCAGCTTGGCGCTCTGGACCCCGTTGTTGCTGCAAAAGGCCTTGATAGCTGCCCGATAGGCTTCGTCTCTGGCCTGGGGACCACACAGTTTTAATTCCACTAGCAGTGAATAGATCTGAGCCACTGCCTGGGCCACCTGGGCCTCTTGCGTTGGCGGATGAACGGCGCTTACCTGCGTGCTGCCCCAGTGACTTCTGCAGATATGGGCCGCCGCCACATCGTCCCCCAAAGTGTCCAGGATCTCCCTGGCCTCTGCCTCTCGCCTGAGGGTCAACAGGATCATCGCCTGCAGGAGTTTGCAGCTCCTGGTATCCTGCCTCACACAGTTCAATTTGTGTTTCAGGAGAACCAGCTTGTCTTCCGGGATGCCGGCCAAGAGGCCAGAGATGCACTCAAAACTTGGTCGGGCCTTGAGATGCTCCGCCATTGCACCAAATGTTTTGGTGGGGGGACACCCCCCAGGGAAAGCATGTCACGAACTCGAGGAGCAGCCGTGGTGCCGAGGGGAGAGGCCGGCTGCTTTGGTTGTAGGTTTAAGACTGGTCATGATGAGCCAACCCTTTCCGGGGGAAACCGCCTCTTGCCTTCTCTGGCATTGATCGAACGGTGCTTTCAGAACACCAGCTGCCTCCTCTTTTTTGGTGGCCTTCTGATCTGTAATTGAAAAGCAGAAAACGTTGGAGGTCTCTTTAGTACCATCTGGGGAGTTCATGGTACATCTTCCCTGATGATAATTCAGGGAAGATAATGAGCAGACACGTTAGCCTATAGCAGCAAAATAAACAGGGGTCACACACAAGTGGAGCTGCCTTCTACTGAATCAGGCCCTTGGGTCCATCAAGGTCAGTATTGCCTACTCGAACTGGCAGCGGCTCTCCAGGGTCCCAGGCAGAGGTCTTTCACATCACCTCCTTCCTGCCTGGTCCTTTCGACTGGAGGTGCCGGGGATTGAACCTGGGACCTTCTGAGTATCAAGCAGATGTTCCATTGCTAAGCCACACTCCCTCCCCAGAGGTCCAGCAGCACCTTAAAGACTAACAACCAATGCTCCCTCTAAGCTGTGGAGTCCTATGAGCAAAAATTCTACTTTGTGAGCTACTGGCATTCAAGTTGTGAGTAAACGACTTGGCTACTGCATAAATTAGTTTGCTCTGGAGCCCCATCCTTCCTGAGCTAAGACAAAGATGTGTGAGCCGGAGGCTAAAAAGCTGTGAGCTAGCTCACACTAACTCAGCTTAGAGGGAACACTGCTAACGACATTTATCCCAGCAGAAACCTTTGTGAGCCAGAGTTTCAGATGCAGGCGTGAAGGGAGCTATGTGACTCATGGAAGTTTAGGCCGGTTTTGTCAAGGCCTGCCCCCCCCCCATGGAAGCAGCAGTGAGCGGGGGCAGAGGAGGGAAGGGACGGTGTCCCCACACCGCTCGCAACCGTCCCTGCCCACCCCTTGCGGTCCATTCAGTGCAGAAGTGCTGAGGCAAGCACAGGGTTGCCAGCTTCCAGGTGGGACCTGGAGATCTCCCGCTTTTACATCTGATCTCCAGACGAGAGATCCGTTCACCCTGGAGAAAATGGCCGCTTTGGAGGGTGGACTCTGTGGCACTGTACCCTGCTGAGGCCCCTCCCCTCCACAAACCCCGCCCTCTCCAGGCTCTGCTCCTCAAATCTCCACGTATTTCCCAATCCAGAACTGGCAAAACCCCCCCCCACAGCTCAGCGAAGCACTGAACATCGAGGGGGGGGAAGCCAATTAAAAAGCTTGGGGGGAGGGCGGTGTTTGGCTCAGTGTCCACACAGATGCTCTGTCCGCCGCCATCCCACAGTTTCCTGTTTGAGGTGGACTGAAGGGTACTTTTTAAAATCCATCTCAAGGGAGGAAAGTATGGAAGCCCCATGCCTCACGGTCAGAATGACCACGGTGTCCCGTGGAAGCTCCCACCAAAACCAGGACCACCCAGTTGGCGACACAGGGCATAAGAACACAAGAGAAGCCAATGCTGGATCAAGCCAATGGCCCATCCAGTCCAACACTCTGCATCAGACAGTGGCCAAAACCCATGGGCTAGATCCCCTCATAGAAGAGGCCTCAGTCTTTTAGGTGCCGTGGGATTGTCCGTTTTCAAGTCCGGCAGCACCTTAGACACCAACAAGATTGTATGGGGTATGAGCTTTCAAGAGTCAAAGCTCCCTTTCATCTCAACAGCTCCTGAGAGCCCGTTGGGTGTAGTGGTTAGGAGTGTGGACTCTATTCTGGGAGAACCGGGTTTGATTCCCCACTCCTCCACATGCAGCTGCTGGTGTGGCCTTGGGCCAGTCACAAGTTCTCTCAGAGCTGTTCTCTCAAGGGCGGTTCTCGAGAGAGCTCTCTCAGCCCCACCTACCTCAACAGAGTGTCTGTTGTGGGGAGGGGAAGGGAAAGGCGATTGTAAGCAGCTCTGAGACTCCTTCAGATAGTGAAGGGTGGGGTATAAATCCAATCCCCCGCTCCTCCTTCTTCTTCCCCCCAAAGTCCTGGGGGTCTCTAAGGTGTTACTGGACTCGACATCCAGCTGTCCCTACTGCAGACCAACTTGGCTACTCTCTGAAACTGTTTTATTTTTGCCACTCTGCCGTGCCCTGAACTGGATGGCTTTGGGTTAGTCGCGCTCTCAATCTGATCTCCCCTCAGAGGGTTAATGTAAGGATAAAATGGAGGAGACGGGAAAACCAGGTATGCCCCTGACAGTTTCCTCAGGGCCAGCAGCACACATCCACACAGAGTATTTTTTTCCTTTCCGTCATAATATAATTCCCCACCTACGCTACTGCACCCCAGTGAGAAACTGAAAGAAAGACAACGAGGTACAAGGGGAACCGGGTCTAACCCACCTGAGCATGGGCTGATAAACTGAGGTAAAGCTAACAGACATGAGGTAGATCCAGGCGGGGTCGCCATGTTGGTCTGAAGCAACAGAACAAAGTGTGAGTCCAGTCGGGCACCTTTGAGACCAACAAAGTTTCATTTGGGATGTAAACTTTCGTGTGGATGCACACTTCTTCAGATCCTTATATAAACTTTGTTGGTCTTAAAAAGATGCCAGTGGACTACGGCATGAGATAGTTTTTTTAAAAAATCAACAAGAACAAATGTTCTTTCGGGGAAAGAAAAACACAGCTGAGGTAAACGTTACAAGTTGTGGGAAAACACTCTCAGGCACTCTTTATTAATTAATTAATTAATTCTTTGGATTTGTATCCCGCCCTCCTCGAAGGCTCAGGGCGGCTCACAAGGGCAAATCCCAGATTATAACAATAAAAAAAATATAAATACAATAAATACAGAATACTACAGTTAATTAAAATTAGTAAAAAATAAAATGTCGGTGCTCCAATACTCACTCCGAATCATAAAACCAAGGTGGTGTTCTGAAGGTGTTACAGCTGAACCACAACAGCACTATAGGTCCCCACAACCCTGTCGTCCACTAGGGACGTCCCGCACCCCCGGTGATACCCGCACCAGCGGTGGTAGAGTGCAGTGATGGAAAGGCGTTGATGGAATACTCTCAATGCAGTACAGCTGTAGTTTGCAACTGGATTTTCCTGTGTGAAATGGGAATATTCCAGTTGCAAACGACTGCTATAGTGTACGCATTACCCAATGTATCTGAATAAGCCAAAAAAACCCAATGTATCTGAATAAGCCAAAAAACCCCAATGTATCTGAATAAGCTATTACTCAATCTATTTGAATAAACCAAAAAAACCCACAAACCCTTAGAGAATAGGAATTAAATCCTATATAGGAATAAAACCCTATATAATCCTAATAGAACAATTATACTTTAATAAATACACATGATCTGTATATCTTTTTTTCTTTTTGTTGAATTAGTTGCTGGATTTTGAATCGTTGAATTAGTTGCTGGATTTTCTATTCCTTTTTTCTGTTGTTGTTTTTTTAAATAAATAAATACAATATAAATAAGAAAGCACTCATTTTAATAAAATCAACTAAACGGTCTTCTTCAGTGGTCTCTAAAACATAACAGTGTCAATAATTCTCTACAGGCTTTTGAAATGGGCTTAGGTCAACCAGTCATTTTATGGGGACATATACTGCTGTTGTTCTGTTATAACATCTTCAGAACACCATCTTGGTTTTATGATTCGGAGTGAGTATTAGAGCACCGATATTTTTAATAACTGTATTATGTTGTATTATTGTATTTTTATACTGTTCTTACTGTTTTAATCTGGCATTTATGCCCTTGTTAGCCGCCTTGAGCCTTCGGGGAGGGCGGGATACAAATCTAAAGAATAAATAAATAAATAATGGTCTGGTGTTTATAATCTTGATAAGCTGTTGTGACTCAGGGTACATTTAGAATTGCCAACCTGCAGGTGGGCCTGGAGATTTCTCAGAATTACAACTGATCTCCGGACTATAGAGATCAGTTCCCATTGTAAGTATGGACGTATTCTTCCAAAATATTTTTAAAAAACAAAACAGTTTCCAAGATCCGTCCTGCCTTCCTTCTCCTGAGCATTTTGTCACACTAAAGGAACAGAAACCAGGTTGGAAATGTGCAGACAAGGAGCATGTGTGAATGTTGAAGTCTATGGGTGCCATTAAGGGCAGGGTTTAGTGCACCCCCTAACAGAAGGGTAGGATTTCTCACACACACACAAACACAGTTTCAAGAGGAGGTTGCTGATCTTGGATCCATTTGCAGGGCAGAGTTCTGAAGAGCCAATTATTTACCCCTTCTGCGTGTGATTCAACCTGCTTTGCCAGTTCCACCCCTGGCATTGGGGCACACCTTGGTCTCCTGCTGCTGCTGGGCCTTATTTGTAATAATATTCCTTCTTCGGCACCCAGTCCCTTCTTCTGTTTGTACCTATGAATAAATACATGTCTTTTTATCCCACCTGTGCTCCAAGGAGCTCAGAGCAGCATGCACGGTTCTCCTTCTACCCCCCATAACAACCCTGTTTATGCAGATTTCCCAAGGAAGAATGACTGGCCAAAGGTCACCCAGCAAGCTGAATTGGCAGGGCAGAGATCTGTACCCGGGCCTCCCTAAACCACAACGCCACGCTTACAAAGGGGCAACTGTGTTAGTCTACTGTAAGAGAATTACACAGGGACAAGCAAGAGAGGGGCTCGAAAATCAACACAGAATTTTTTTTTTTGTTGAACCCTCTCTGCATTTTCACAGCTGCTCGAAGAATCTGAAATTGCCCCCTACCAGAAGGAAGCACTCTAACCACCCTCAGTCATTGGTAATCTATTTTCTCTTTTTATTGGTAATCAAGACGACCTGCTGAAGTATCCCAGGCCTCGCTGTATTGTGGTCATTAACAAACCTCTTGGTATTGTCCCATGGACAAAAGGGACTTGCAGATTTCCCAAAAGAAAATCAAATCAGCAATGGGACGTCTTGGGACAGGTTGGCGCCTTTAGGGTTACCATGTCTTGAAAAGCAAAAAAGGGGGATATGTTTCCCGACCCGACCGCTTCAAACAAGTGACCACTCTGACCAATCTCATTTGAAATGAGATTTCTCTTTAAGCTGCAGTCATGGCTACTAACCTGGGCCCATAGCTTGGGGGGGCTACTTGGGGCTTTGCCCCTTCCTTAACGGGCCAGCCCCACAAGATTTCTTCAGGTCTGGGCTCACAACAAGGCATCCAGCCCAGGCAGCTGCCCTTCTTACAACCGGGAAGTTTCAAGTACAGTTGTTTAGAGACAGACAGAAAAATAAGTGGCAAACCAGCCCCACCAGAAAATCTTTTGCCCCACAAGCCGCAACATCCTGGCTATGGGCCTGCTACGAACTAGGAATAGCCCTAACCTTCCAACCCAAAGAGAGGACGTTTTTATCAATTTTATCTTTTTAAAAAAACAAAAACAAAGGTAAAGGTAAAGGTTCCCTTGCTCGAAAGCCAGTCAAGTCCGACTCTAGGGTTGCGGTGCTCATCTCCGTTTCAAAGCCGAAGAGCCAGCGCTGTCCGAAGACGTTTCCGTGGTCATGTGGCCGGCATGACTAAACAGCAAGGCGCACGGAACGCTGTTCCCTTCCCACCGAAGTGGTACCTATTTATCTACTTGCAATTTCTCGCTTTCGAACTGCTAGCTTGGCAGGAGCTGGCACTAGAGACGGGAGCTCACTCCGTCATGCGGCAACCCGGGTCTACTGACCCTTCCACAGCCTGCAGTTCAGCGTCTTAACCACTTGAGCCACCGCAGCTCAAAAAACAAAACAGAGCCCCAAAGAGGGCGGACGGGACAACCACCACAAAAGAGGCCATGTCGTCCAAAAAAGATGGCATCTGGTAACTCTAGGTACCTGGACTACCACCCCTGGCCTGGGACAGCCAGACAGCGTTTCCCCCCACCCCCTTTTAGCACCTCAGGTGGCTGCACAGATGGATTGCCTTGCAAACCACCCCCACCCCCACC